CAGTTATTCTGAACATAACAGTATCGTTCATTAAAAATGAAATATCTTCTTTCAAGTCTTTTTTCCTCTTCTTCAGTATTTTATTCTGATCATAATTCAGTATTAATTGTGAAGAAAAAGCAGATATTTTCGTTGTGGTTTTCTTTCTTCTTACTCAGTTAGATATTCTGATCTTCATCGAATATCTTTTACTATAAAAAGAATTAATATTTTGTGAAACACGATCTGAAAGAAGTGTTGAAGTGTATAGAGTAGAAATTTTGAACCCACTCCCTACAGGCCGTGACAGAGGGACTCTAGAGACCCATCACCGACAGTGACAGAGAACCTGTAGACCCATCAAAGACTGTTACAGAGAAACTCTAGTTTTGAAGCATGAAATAAACAATAAGCTACAAATCTATTGTAAAGAATTGGAAGAAAATGAAGTCCATTTAATTAGTAACCATAGATGCATCGTGTTTCACATTTTTAATCCCGCAAGGGATTGCGCTAACAGCTTTTTCTTTAAGCATTCTATCTTCTTTTTAGTTCTTTAATCTCATCTTCTTCGAATATTAAGTATGAGAAAGGAAATCAAGTATGTTTGTTTAGGCCTTTGTCCTTCTTCTGAGTTAGATATTTTCATCATAATTGAGTATCTTTCGTGACAAAAGAAGGATAAAATGTTTTCGTTTAATTCATTTCCCATCTTATTTAGTTCCTACTTGTAATCATAACTGGATATCTGATTTGAGAAAAAAAAATCAAGTTTATTCGTGTAAATATTTTCACTTTTTCTTTCATTAATTATTCTCATATTTATTGAGTATCTGTAGCGAAAAAGAGTCGAATGTTTTTTATAAAATGTTTTGCTTCTTCTTTAGTTACTGATTGTGATTATGATTGACTATCTATTATGGCAACGAGTATTTCGTATTTTCTTTTAAATCTTCTTCCTCGTTCTTCAAACTATGTAGTTATTGTTATCTTCATTGTGTATCTCTCTTGAGAAAGAGAACCCAATATTTTTGTTTACATCTTTTCGCTTTTGTTTCAGGTAGTTAGTCTGATTTTCCTTGAGTATCTTTTGTGAGAAGAAGAATGACATATATTCGTTTAAGTCCTTTCACTTCTTCGTTAGTTACTTATCGTGATCATAACTGAGTATATATTGTGAGAAAGATAAGTAAGTATTTTCATTTACATCTTTTCCCTGTTTTTTTTACAGTTAGTTAGTCTGATATCCCTTAAGTATCTGTCCTGTGAAAGAGAATGAAATGTTTTCCTTTAATCCTTTTCTTTTGTTCTTCAGTTGCTTATCGTAATTATAACTGAGTATCCATTGTGAGAATGATAATTAAATATTTTCGTTTAAATGTTTTTTCTTATTCGTGAGTTACATATTCTGATGTTTATTGAATATATTTCGCTAGAAAGAGAGCTAAATAAGTTGATTTAAATCTTTCTTCTTCTTTTGAGTTAAATATTTTGACCTCGATTAAATACCTTCCGTATGAACAAGAATGAAATATTTTTCGTTAAGCCTTGTTTCTTCTTCTTCAGTTACTTATTCTGATCATAATGGAGCATCTGTTGTGAAAACAAGTATTAAATATTTTCATTTAAGTATTACTCCCTCTTTCTTAGCTAGATATTTTAATCAGTATTGAGTACCTTCCTTGAGAAAGAGAACCAAATATTTTCGTTCAGCTCTTTCTATTTTGTTCTGCAGTTAGAGAGTGTGACCGTCGTAAAAGATCTTTGATGAGAAAGTCAATTAAATGTTCTGGTTAAGTCTTTTTGATTCTTCTGAGTACTCTATATCTTTGCTTTAAACATATATTAATTCTTCACTATATTTATTCATTTTATCACAAAGTTTAGATTTTGCGGAAACACCGAGATAGATCCCTTTTCTCCATCCCCAATTCGTATGAACCCATTCAGTCAACAGATTGATGCCAACAGAATTACGTGACACACAAATTAATTGGCGATTTGACACAAAAATTGTTTGAATGAAACATCGAATGAAGTGTGGCATTAAAACAATATTGGAATATACCATGAACAATACAATTAAACAGGTTAGTTTATTTGTTTTTCTTTTTTCGGATTTCAACTGTTGCAGTAGTCACTTCATCTCTTTCCAAGAATTTAGTCTAAAATATAATCGGCTTACGGCTTTTTTCTTCTTTATCTCATGATTCTTAATCTTGACTAAGTATCTGTTATGAGAATCTATATGAGATCCTTCAGACATACCAAAAGTAGCACCCTTATCAGCTTATTTCGTTGATAGAAAGCTTGAATAGATTTTCTTTTTTTATGTAGTGAAAGAGAAAACGATGCTCGATTTTTCTGCGTTATTTGTCACTTTTCAATTAATATCATAAAAGTAACATTTCGATAAGAATTGTTTTCGTGTACAACTTCACCAGTATGTGAGGTCGGATAAATGGCCATGCTTTGCATTCTTATTTTCAATTACTTAATAGGTTTCGTCGAAAAACTAAAATATACCACTAGATGAAGCGTGAAAAGCTCTGAAGTTTACATAGGACGGCTTATTTTATATAGCTCCACTTTTTGTTTTCATAATAAGCAAAATGTTGAGCAATCAATTTTCGATCCTTCTTTAACGATATTTTTTTGCTAAGAAATAAGTTGATGTTTTTATTTCATCGTTTTATTACCGTATATCTTTTATTTAAAAAGCAATACATCAAAAGATGCAGCGTGAAAAGCGTTAAAATCTTTGTAAGCTAGCTTATTTTAATTGCTTACTTTTGTTTCCAAAACAAGTAAAATTCTACCCGACTATCCCGAAAAGAATCATTTTTTTATACGAAGAGAAATTTTTGTTCCTTATCTGAAATATAAAATAGACTGTTATGTAAAAATTGCAGAGCTTTTTACACTACATTTAATGGTATATTTTCTTTTTTAATAAGACCGATAAAGTGAGTGAAAACTGGAATGGAAAAACATGCAAAGTGTGGCCACATAATCTGCCATTCATATTATTGAAGCTGCACACAAAAACAGCTCTTGTCCAAATTTTATTATTATGATTTCAAGTGAAAGGTGTTCAAATGTCACAGAAAAATAGAGCGTCGTTTTCTCTATCAATAAGTAAGAAAAATAATATCTATTGAAGCTTTCTATTAATGAAATAAGATGATGACGCCACTACTTTTGATGCGCCCTAAATATTTTCATATTATGCGTTTTTCTTTTACCAATTAGATATTCTTATCTTTATTTAGCATGTGTTGTGAGAAATAGTATGAGATTTTTTTGGTTAAATCTTTTTCCACCTTTGTCTTTGGATTCAAACAGTTTGGAAGCTCCAAATAGTGTCAGGAAATGAAATAGGTGGTTAAAATTTCGATCATTTTTGGTTATTTTCGAATGTAGCCGTTGTCAGGTCATGCTATGGATAAATATAAATGAAAGCATTGAATCAGGTTCTAGTTTCACATCGCCTTTTTCATAGTAGTGTTCGGGAAAAATTTTGAAGTGCGTCAGATTTTCTTTGTCTTGTAGCGCTTCTTACGCCATATGCGTCTGTCAGGTATCCTCTTCTAATTTTTCTGAAGATGCGAAACATTATGTCCGACCTTCGTCAGTAATTATAGTGTTTTGATTATGTTCATGTGTGTCGTCAGTAGCTGTTTATAAGCGTTTGCTAGGGATGCTGGTTTAGCATTCGCATTGCATTAAAGTAATGCTAACACTAATACTTTTTTTATGGATCCTAAGACAAAAGTATTGCAATTTGTATTGACTGATATCATGCTGAAGCGGAGCCGATATCCTTAAGTTCAATGCGTTTTGTGTTATAACTTTAATGCAAAAGCGTTGTAGCTCCTATTAAATTGATGCAATATAGTGTTAACTTAATAGGAGCTAAAATGCTTTTGCGTCAACATTGTAACACAAAACGTATTAAACTTAGTCAGAGATACCGGCTCCATGTCAGCATGATATCAGTCAATACAAATTGCAATACTTTTGTCTTAGGATCCATAAAAGGAGTATTAGTGTTAGCATTACTTTAATGCAGTGCGAATGCTAAACCAGCACCCCTAGCGCTTGCAACCATTATTAGCCCTCTCCGAAGCACCTTTGCCTGCTTTTGGGAGACTCTTGATGCCGTTAAGAGTACCTGCAAACCCTTCTAACTACCCTTTTATAAACTCTTTACGGGTTTATTATCTTCTCATTTGTTTATGGTGTAGTTGATGAGATTGATCAACCTCTTTATAGTTGATGGAAATAATCAACCTTCTGAACTACCTTTTGATCTCCCTTTCTATAGTTGATGGAATTGATCAATCTTTTGAACTGCCGATTGACATACCGCTTTCGAGTTGATGAAGCTACTAAACGCTTACTATCAGCTTTACGAAAGGTAGTGCAAGGGTATTTCGTTATGATTTACCCGCTTATAAACGGGTATCTGTATTGAAATAAATTGGTTTTTAAATTTGATCTACCCTTTGAAAGGGTTTAAGAGAATGCAACGGATAACATACCCTTTAACCATTTTTGAATCCTAGAAACGTTTTGATAAACCTTTCATAACGGGTATTTTAGGTTGATAAACCGTTCTTTTGCATTATTTTTGGGGATAGATCAAAGGGTTTACCACATTCTGATAAACGGTAGAAAAGGGTATATTATCCGTTGTATCCTGATAAACGTTTTAAAAGTTTATCATTCTACTCTTTTTTTTTAGTGCATAGCCTCATATAGATTTTTCAGCTCAAAATAAAATAAATTACTCTTTAAAACTGCAACTATTTTAATATGTCTTGTAGCCGCGTACCCACTCTCTCCACCATCGGCTACGATCTTGGGTAGAGCACGCATGCGAACATGTAAATCTGTATTCAGAAGCGACAACTTTGTAAGAAGAATATTTTACAAACAAGAAACTTTCTTACAACCCACGAAAGAAATAAAAAAACAACATTAATTTGTTTGTTGAACACAAAAACAAATAAACAAAGTCATTGTTCAATCGAGAATCGTTGAACTCGCCGATTGTAATAGTCAACAACATACAGATTTCCATGTTGATCGAATGACAAATCTATGGGGCAGTTCAACTGGTTTGCTTCTTTTTCCGAACCATTTCCACCAACAATTACATTTCCCTGTGTCGCTCCTTTATACCAACGCATCACTCGATCGTTGCCCCAATCTGCTACATAGACTGTGCCAAATGCATCGACGAACACTCCTCTGGGAGATGACAATTGATGCGGAGCATTTCCTTCACCTTTACCGCCAGCCACAATAATTCCTTCTTTCGCATCTTTCTCCCACTTCATCACACGATTATTATTCCAATCCGAGACGTAAACAGAATAATCTCGATCGACAAAGATGAAAGTGGGATTGTAGAGTTGATCGAGACGATCACCTTTTTTATTACCACCTGCCACCACTATTCCATTTGTCTCGCCCATTCGATATCGTCTCACTTCATGTTTTCTCTGATCAGAGACGTAGAGAAATCTCTGATCGTCCATCGTGAGACCGAAACAATCGATGTTGTCGATCATAATTTCTCCACTTATTCGATCCTGACGAGACCATCGCATCACTCGTCGGTTTTTTTCATCGCAGATGATGAGACTGTCTGTTTCTTTATCAACAATCACATCCGTTGGATGATTCAACTGATCAACTCGATTTCCTTGTCCGTTGCCACCAGCTACTACTTGAACATTCGTTGTATTACACTTCCATTTCACAATACGGTGATAATTGGCGTCAGCAATGTAAATAGTTTGATCATCATCCACGTAGATACCCATAGGCAAATTGAGTTGATCGTCTTCTAGACCTTCTCCATTGCCTGCAGTGATGGTCACTCCATTCTGTACCCATCTGGAATTTTGGGAAATATTCGGGATGAGAGCTGCACAGAGAAAGAAAAGAGGTTCTCAATGAATTTCAGTATATACTAGTAGAATTTTTATGGAATTCGGTTAAGATTTTTCTGAAACGTTTTGAAATCTTGTACAAATTTCGCGAATCATCCGAAGTTTCTATGAATCAGTTTTCTCTGTCTTAGGGCGATTTTCTTTCCTATTTCTCACAGTCTTCATGAATTTTGTTCGATTTGTCGAATTGTTTTTGTAAAAGCATTTTCATTAATTCCAGTAGTGTCAAACTTGAAACTTGAATTCAATTGAAATTTCAACTTTCAACTGAAATTTCAAGTTTGACATATATGGGATTTTGCGCTCTATCTAGATTAGAAATAATCTGGGTGAAATATTATGAATATTGGTTCGATATTGAATACCCGTCTGCTGAGACCGTTCATTCAAATCTAAACTAACTTCAAAACTCTTATGTTTTCAAGTATAAAATACAGGATAGAAATTTCATTCACATTAATTGCAATTGAGTCCTCTGAGAGGCACCCAATGGACCAGAAAGTGTCTCTTGAATTCTGTTTTGTGAAAAGAGTTTTGCAATAATCTCAGCATGTGTCTGATTATCTCATGAAGTTTAATGAAAGTTTCAGAGAACTTTCTTGTTTACCGCTATTGTGTTGAGTTTATGGAATTTTTAAGCAATCTTTGGTAGTTTTGTCAAATTTCGATGAAATATTCAGCGATTACATTCGAAATTTCAACAAACTCTTCCGATGATTTTCCGTAGTTCTCCAAAGTATAGTTCAAACTTCGTCAGTTTCGCAGAATTTTCCAAATATCGATAGAGTTCTCTTATGCTTTAGAGTTTTTTCGAAACTGAATAGGAGTCTTGCTGCATTCGATGAAACTATTACTGTATTTATTTGAATATTATGGGACTTAGTGTTCTGTCTCAGAAATTTCGTGCTTTTCCTTTACAACTTTGTGGAATCGGGTGAAACTATCTGGAATGCCCCAGAGGGCACGAGTATGTAATTTCATTTCATTTACACTTATCATTTGTTCAAGAGGAATGAGTATGTTCTGACAGTGAGATTGAACGCTTTCCTTATGGTATCAATTAGTGGATCCTAGGAAGATATTGTCTATTATCTAGGAGCTCTTGAATTACAGGACTCGAGGAGTCTTTTTTACGAGAGAATAATCTTGTATTCAGAGCAGCATACTTGATTTCGACGCAGATTGAGATTTTGATAGAGCTGATGTACTTTTCGATACAACCGTGACAATAGCTGTGGCGTGGCTTGACCAAGAAGAATCTCAACGATGGGAAAATAGTCTCATAGTGATATGTACGAATTCATATTAGCAATGATATAAGTATCATCTTATTATTCGATGGAAATCTGGTGATGAACCGAATGAGTGTCAAGAAAACAGGATAATCTTAACTCAACGGCCAATGTTAGGTTTGAAACGGTATTTAAAGAACAAACTGACGTTGAAATTATATGCTGCTATCTATTTCTGGGATGTTTCTAATAACAAATGTCAACGAGCAAGGCTTGTCATTTCTAGTCTTTTTAGAATATACCATTCACAATTCCCTAGCTAAAAACTTTAAGCAACATTTGGGCAGCTACAAAGTGCTTCTGTTCACAGAGACATAGGGTGCTCTGAAACTAGATGTGCACATTATATAGTATATCTCTTGTTTCTTTAAAAAAATGCAATAGGTAAATTGTGCAATTCTTAACAATCGCAGTCCTTCTTAGGAAATTCCTAGAGTCATCATTCAGGATCCTAAGTTGTCAGGATCTGATCAACTTTGGATCCGAGTCTTGTCTCTTTGTTTCAATGCTATTCTCTTCAAATTTTACAGCATTAATTTTCGTGTAATAAGGTTTGAAAATAAGAGAATTATACCAATGACGCATGTGGCCCTCCTTATACTTTTGATACCAAATCTTGTCAAATATCGACGAACTTCAAGTTAACATCACGGTGTAGTGGAGTAGGAATAAGCGTGCACAATTCAGAAAACAAATATTATATATGTTCACGGGTGTAGCATCCTTGAACTCAGATTCTGATAGGATCTTGACAGGGCCCTGTAAGCTCCTTTCGAGGAAGCATCTGTTCGCTAGTCAGGTGATCAATTAGATGGGTGGAGACTCGGAGCTGTCACCTATAATTACATGTGGCAACTAATCCTGTGATCACTGCTGCTGACGTTTCACTAGGAAAAGTCGGCTATTTTTAGAAACAAACATCCATTTTAGAGGCAAAAAGTTATCAAATTCTCGTTTAGAATACAGACTTGTTCAGAATATACTAAAGAAAAAACTTCTAAACGCAGTTCTGGAGGGTGATAAAATTTGAAACTCATAGAATTGTGTTTGTTTATAATCTTCGTATGATCCGACTGAACATCCAGCGTTTCAGTCATATGTTCAAGATATGAGTAGAGGATACTAGGAAACAGCCATTGCAGACCCTATAATGAGTTCATTTGATGCACATTTAAGAAAAAGTACATTTATTTATTTATTCGTACACCCTATTTGACTCTTTACGTCTCACTCTTCTCATAATTACTGAAAAGATTATATGTAGAGCTACTGCACAAAATGAAGAAAGCATAGATTCGAAAACTTTTACAACATGTACTTTTAGTAAACTCCATGAACTATTGATTGAGAAAAAGAACAGTGTTCTTCATGAGTTCGTCTCTTAAAATATCATTCACAAAATCGGTAAGTTTTCAAAAAAAAATCAGAAACATTTAAGTTTAAATATAATTTCTTCTATTTACAATTATTAAGAATCTAGAAAACTTGCTGCTATGTTCCATAAATTGACGTGAATTCCTATTAATGAGTTACATATATTCCGAAAATTTCGAATGTTTTGACTTTTAATAAATAGTTTTCCTGCTTTTTTATTAAAGGTAATAGAAACAAATAGACTGTATCAGAGGTTCAAACAGGCCCACTTTTTGAAGGCCTGGCCTGCCTGTGACAGGCGTACATCCCTCCTAGCCTGCCTGTGCCTGTTCTCTGATTTCCTCGGTCTGGCCTACCTGCCTGTCATTTTCTTAGGCCTGCCTGTCTAGGCCTATGTATTTTTTTCACGTCAATATCATGATAAAAGTACCATAGATAGAAGTAATAATCGTCATAAAAAGTTGTATTAGTCACTTAATTCAATCTACATCACTACGTTGAAAAGTCTCTAATTGAAAAGTCCATGAGAATTGTCAGATTTCCAATTAAACAAAGGTATCATGCTTCTTTATAATTGAGAGCATGTGAAACTAAGGGTAGAACAAAGACTTCATTTCCAAAGATACTTCTAGTTAGTCGGAGTATAAAAAAGCATAGCTTTCAGTTCACTTACAAAACGCTTTCTCGAAAGAACGAACGATTTCTAGTCAAAATCGCTCGGCGAAAATTGGCATCGTTCTGAATAAGCAAGTAACTTCATTAAAGAGACAGCTACAATGCCTATCTGTAAAAACTGCGGACACACTTTCATATAAAAATTAATTCATGTAAAAGTTAGAAAAGATCCATTTTAAGTGACTAAAATCGTTATTCTTTTATCGATTGTCAATTGGTAGCGAATCGATTACAATAAAAACAAATCAAAGTCAATTCATTATCGATTTCTAATTGATTAAAAATGTATGATGTTACTGAACCTAGAATCAACTGTTTGCATCATTTCTTTTATAAAGACTAGAGCTGCATTCGTCACAGCATCAGAAAATTTAATTTCATATATGCTCATACTTTTGTCACTGCTTAGCAAAAATTAAGGAATGCTATACCGTGCTTTAGAAAGCTGGTAGCTTCGAAGACCTTGAATATTTTTCGTGTAGCTTTCTCTTGTCATACTTTGTAATAAAACATTATATAGAATGTTTGAAGAGAATATTACGGTATATATATCTTTCAACATGAAGTTAGATGACAATTAATAACAGTATATAAATAGTAAAATTTCGCACCAAAAAGCTATTTATGTATTCTGGGCCATCCGATTTTTAATTTTCTAAGGCCTTGTATAAGTAAAACTGGAACTAATTATGGCTGTCTGTATCTAAAAGAAAGGCTATCCTTCAGCTGAATCAAAAAACGCGCGACGCAGTAGGGATGTGAAAATAATATCAACTTAGAACTCTATCCTTTTTCAGAGTTGGTGATGTCTGTGGGTATTGACATTTCACAGGTACCCACATACGTTGAAAATTTTCATTACTGATTAAGAGTTTACGAACTGAACATTGGTGATACGTAGACAAAATAAAAACAATGCTAAGATAGGCAACTTGTGGAAGATATCTGATTTTTGTTCAAAAATATTTTCATTGAATTTCTTATGCCAGATCACAATGTCACTCAAAGTATCGGGATCAAGAGAGAAACAGAATTCAATCAGTGGTAAATCTGCAAAAGAAAAAAGGATTTAGAATTATTTAATTTAACTAAAATTGAGAAACATGACAAGTAGATAATGATAACTATGAAAATTTGTGCTCATCTTGTCTTCAGAATGGTAAGGGTATTGATCTCCTATAAGTATCTTTAATACTCATTCCGCAGTATTTGCCTGATTCACCGCGCTTAAATGTGATTTTTTGAAAACTAATGAAGGTTGTATCTATTTGCTAAAAAAATCATGAAATTCTCAGATGAAACTTCGATTTCGAAGAAAAAGTAGACAGGCCAGGCGGCCTGTCATTTTCAAGCGGCCTGCCTGACCTGTCTGTGACAGGTGCAGGTCTCAAAATTGTGGCCTGTGCCTGTCACAGGCAGGCGGGTCCAGGCAGGTTGGCAGGCCTCGTGGCCTGTTTGGACCTCTGAACTGTATGTTTGCCTAATCACCATTGCCAAAAATAAGAAAAAAAACTGGGTTTTAGAAGTAGT